TCCCTGAGAGTAAAGAATAACACAACACTCAAGACCCCTAAGAAAGCAGCAACAGAACCTTCACTCTAGAAGTGCAAAAGCTCAGCCCCAACAAAGTCTGAAGTCAGAAAGCAGGCTAGAAAAGTGAGCAAACAAAAAAAGAATACTACCACAAAAAAGCTATGATGGTGACAAGGATGATTAAGACACAAATCCAGAGGAAAAGAATAACTCCAAAAACATTGATTAAGCAAAGCCTCAAAGACAAATACAACTCGGACAAAAATTCAACTAGAATTCCTAGAAAAGATGAAGCAATCGTTTTTAAAAGAGATTTAAAAAGTAATTTTATAAATGAAATGAGAGCAAAATAGAGAGCATTACAACATGTAAAATGGATAATTTTGATTATGTTAAATTATAAAGGTTTTGCACAAACAAAAGCAATGCAACCAAGATTAGAAGGAACACAGAAAGTTGGGAAACAATTTTTACAGCAAGTATCTCCGACAAAGTCCTCATTTCTCAAAAATATAGGGAATTGAATCAAATTTATAAAAATACAAGTTATTCCCTAATTGATAAATGGTCAAGGGATACGAACAGACAGTTTTCAGATGAAGAAATCAAAGCTATCTATAGTCCATGAAAAAATGATCTAAATCACTATTGATTAGAGAAATACAAATTAAAACAACTCTGAGGTACCACTTCACACCTATCAGATTGGTCAATATGACAGAAAAGGAAAATAATAAATGTTGGAGGGGATATGGAAAATTTAGGACACTAATGAACTGTTGGTGGAGCTGTAAACTGATCTAACTGTTCCAGAGAGCAATGTGGAACTACACCCAAAGGGTAATCAAACTGTGCATATTCTTTGATCCAGCAATACCACTACTAGGTCTACATTCCGAAGAGGTTTTTTTTTTAAAAAAGGGGGGAGGACCTATTTGTACAAAAACATTAATAGCAGCTGTTTTTGTGGTGGCAAAAAAATGGAAATTGAGGGGATGCCCATCAATTGGTGAGTGGCTGAACAAGTTGCGATATATGAATGTAATGGAATACTACTGTGTTATAAGAAATGATGAGCAGGTAGATTTCAGAAAAAACTGGAAAGATTTAAGTGAGCAGAACCAGGAGAACATTGCACACAGTAACAGCAATATTGTATGATAATCAACTATTGAATGATTTAGCTATTCTCAGCAATACAATAATCCAGATAATTCCAAAGGTCTCATAATGAAAAATGCTATCCACATCCAGAGAAAGAAATGAAGGAGTCTGAATGCAGAAATCGATGCATACTATTTTTCACTTTTTTTGTGGGTTTTTTTTGTTTTTAGTTTGTTTCTTCTTTCATAACATGACTAATATGAAAATATGTTTCACATGATTGTGCATACATAATCTATATCAAATTGCGTGGGGGGAGGTGAGGGAAGGAGAGTGAAAATTTGGAACTCAAAAAAATTTTGAAGCAATGTTAAAAATTGTCCTTATATGTAACTGGGGAAAAAATAAAATAATATATTTTTTTAAAAATGAAATGAGAGCACTAGAAAAAAAAAAGTTGGAAAAGAAATAAGAACTATGGAATCTAAAGAGAATTAAGAGTTTGGCACAAGAGGTATGAAATTTTGCCCAAGTAACAAACTACGAAAATTACAATGGATCAAACAGAAGTCAATAATTCCATGAAACAAATATTAAAACAAAGTAAAAATCATGAAAAAAATATATAAAGTATCTCGTAAAAATAACAGACCTGAAAAATAATTTGAGGAGGAAAACTTAAAATCATTTGACTAACCAAAAGCCATAACCAACCGCGCCCCCCCCCCCAAAAAAAACCACCCAGATATCGCATTTCAATAAACCTTAAAAGAAAACTGCCCAGGTCTCTTAGAACCAGAGGGCAAAGTAAAAATTGAAAGAATCTATCAGTCACTTCCTTCAAGAAACTCCAAAATGAAAATTCCCAAGAATATTACGACCAAAATCCAAAACTTACAGATAAAAAAAAATATTGAGCCACAATCAGACTTCCAATCTACCATTGCTGCCTTATCTCACAACATATACTTTTACACACTCTACATCAGCCAAATTGAACTCACTCTCTCACTCTCCCTCCGTTTGTCTGTGTCTGTGTGTGTCACAACACAGACACAGACACACAGGGCTTTTCTGCTTACATTTTGTTTTTGCTTAAACTGTTCCCTTTACCCAAAAAGCCCACTCTTCCACCTTCATCTGCTATTATGCCACTCATCCTTCAAAACACAAATGCCACCAAAAGCCTTTTCTTATACCCAAAGTAATCATCTTATCCTTGAAAGTCATATAGTACTTTGCTTATACCTCATATATTTTTATAAAATAAAACTGAACATGAAAAAATTAATCAATCACCAAGTTTGTAAGCTCCTTAATAGGGTCTGTGATTTCCTCAATGGATTAAATGTTCAAAGAAGATGAACAGCTCTCAGAAGAATTGCAAACTATTAGCAATCATATTAAAGAGTTCCAAATCACAAATAATAAGAAAAATGCAAATCAAAACAACCCATAGGTTTTATCTCACATTCAAAAAATTAACAAAGATAAAAGATTCGAAGAGTCAATATTGGAGAGGCAATAGAAAGCAGACATACTAATGCAATGTTGGTGAAGCCATGAATTGGTTCTGAGATTCTGAAAAGCAATTTGAAATTATGTTTTTAAAAGTGACTAAAATGCCCATATCCTTTGACCCAGACATCCTATCAACTAAGGAATAGCTAAACGATTTTTGGTACATTAATGTGATAGAACATTACTATACCATAAGAAACAATAAATATGAAGAAGCACATATAAACCCGGTACTATCTTAGGAAGAACACAATGTCTGGGCTTCTAGTGATGAAAAAATAAGTTCTAACTTAATTTTTATTTTTAAATATAACTGAAGATCAACAGCATTTGCTCTGAATAGTACTGCACTTCTGTGTTTTGTTGTTTTGATTTAGTGACGTACTGCAATTATTGTTAATGGTATAATGTAAATAAAATGATTAGACAAGTGAACCTGCATATAAAAATATACAGCATATGTGCTTCTTTTAATTCTACTATTTACAAATGAGAAGCAGGCTACTATCATATTTGATAGAGTGCTGAACTTGGAATCAAGAAGAGCTGGGTTCACGTCAAGCTTCAGATTTCTACTAGAAGGTCCATTCACATAAGTCCCTAAGCTTCAGGCAACTCACTAAGGTACAAAAAAGCTTCGAAAACTTCCTTGACATACAGATGTATTTGCCAAACAGGGTATGTTTACATTTCAATCTTAATCTTCAGGAAAAAAAAGTTCAATTTTGACTATCCTAATTTAGTTCTACCTGTTCTGGTGCTACTGAGCACTAATTTAGTCAAATGTGTTCTTCCTGCAATTGCGCAAGAAACACTATATTATTATTGCAGCATGGACTCTAAGTCACAGCCACAATGATCAACAGATCACTCTAAGAGTAAATATCTCAGGAAAATGACAAACATATTTCAACACTACCACAGTCAGAAGTCATTTTCCATCACAGAAGAAAAAGAGAAAGGCACCATGGTATAATGGAAAAAGCAATGGTTTTGGAGTCAGGAAATCATGGTATTCAGCTCCCAGTTAACACTGTATGATCTTGAGCAGGTCATTTAACGCATGTCACTCTTTTTCTTCCTCTGTAAAATGAAGTTGGACTGGATGATCCACAATGTCCAAAATTTATAATCCTATGTTATTTTACCAGAACCAAACATTTTAATCAAGGCCCAGCTGAAATCTTCTAAACAGTCTTTCCCCAACCACCTGATTCAGTTTATCCTCTCTTTCCTCTAACACAGAATTTGTACAATTTATGTAGCATTAGTCTACTATATTGTTTTTTCCTCAACGTTTCTATTTTGTCATATCAACTAAACTTTAAACTCCTTGAGAGCAGGGAATATTTCTTTGTATATTTCACAGAGCCTAGCACAGTGCATTAAACAAAGCATGAACTCAGATATTTAGAATGAAAGAAAATACTCTAGAATTAGAAGGGTTTTAAGTATCAATTTGCTTGGTTGGTGGGAACTGGCTACCTGTATAAAAATGTCACAACAGAAAGAATGATGCTTATTTAAAAATTTTTTTTATAGATTTAAAACCTCTTTTATTCATTCATTCAACAAGCATTTATTAGATGCGTACTGCCAACCACTGTATTAGGAAATTGGAAAACAAAAAACAGAAACAGTCCCGGCCCTCAGAGGGCTTACATTATATTGATAATAGCATGAAGAAGGATAAATATTAAAAAATATGCAAAATAGATAAAATAATTTGCACAGTGGAGTGCGCTAGCAACCGGGGTGGGGGGGACGGGAAGGTGTATCAGTATAACCCAGGAGTAGGAGGTACTTGACTGAGCCTTGAAGGAAGTTAAGGACTTTACGAGGCAGAGGTGATTACGACATTCTAAGTATTAGCGGGTTGGGAGGGTGGGGAAGAGGGGAGGGAGAAGGGGAAGCCTGTGCAAAGGCAAGAAGGGACATGTAATGTTATGCAGGGAACAGCAAGTAGGCCAGTTTAACTGGAAGGGAGACTGCGTGAAGGATTGAAACGTGCAAAAAATCTGGAAAAGGCAAGCTGAAGGCCGATTGTGGATTTTAAATATGAGGATGCCCAATCACCGAAGGCTCCTGCATCACAGTTAGGTTTGCTAAGGGAGATGGGTAGACGTAGCTTCCATTTTAAAGAGACAGGCCACGGACCCGCCCCTTCAAATTTCAGGTCCAGGTTTCTGTCGGTGATGGGATCTCAGGAACTGCCTCCAAGCCCTCCGCGCCCATAAACAGAAGCTGAAAGGGTGGGGTTGGGGGAAAGCCTCGATTCCCGCACCTCCATGAGATAAATACAACCAAGAAAGCAACAGGGAGTGGGGGACTACAGGGACTAGACTTTCCGGCCAGAGGCGGCTCCCCGACCTCACCTTCCCGTCCTGGGGGTGCTGGCGGGCGGACAGACGAGGGGCTAGCAAGCTGTCACGAGTCCCATCCTCCAGCGTCTTCCGGTTCCCGTAGGAAGCTGGGCAACGGCGAGACAGGAAGTCCCGCCTCCCAAATCGAGCCGGGAGCCGATGCTGTCACGCTACTCCTTCCCTGGGAGATGAGACGCCTGGATCCAGGAGACCGACTAGGGCAGAAGAGCCGAGCTGAAAGATAGTCGCGCATGCGCGGTGGCCGGAGAGCTCGTGGACCAGAGGACGTGGGGCGGGACGGTGCGGACTGTCTGTGGGGACCTGCGCGGGTGGGACTGCAGCGTAGGCTGGTCTTACTATCTTATTCTCATAGTTCTGTTGACTCAAATCAGACAGTCAACGAGCATTTAAAAAAAAATTAATTTATTTTCAGTTTCAAATTCTCTCCCTCCCTCCACGCCCTTCCCCATCCATTGAGAAGGCAAGCAATTTTATATCCATTATACATGTGAAGTCATGCAAAACATGTTTCCACATCCGCCATCTTGCACAAAAAATAAACTGCTTCAGTATGCAGGCAGAGTTCATCTGGAAGTGGATAGCATCTTTCAAAACAAGTCCTTGGGAATTGTGGATCATTGTATTGATCAGAGTAGTCAAGTCTTTCATAGTTGATTATCGTTACATTACTATCAACGAGCATTTATTAAATGTCTACTTTATGCCAGGAACTGGGGTTACAAGAAAAGAAAATGAAACAATGAGCTTAGGTTTTAAATGCAGGAGCACATGTAAAAATATGTACAACATAAAAGTGAATAAATACACATGTATATACATATATAAATACACACACACAAACACCCAAATATACATATACATACATATGTATGAAAAGTAGTTAAGTACAAGATAGGTTGGGAGGGTGGACAATTCAGTTCAGAGGAGTGTTTCTTAAGCATCTACTACATTCCATGAACTATGCTAAATTCTGGGGGATCAAAGACAAAAGGAAAGGATCCCTAACCTTGAAGAGTATGAGAGTCAGTCAACAAGCAGTTATTAGGTAGTTATTATGTACCAGGCACTGTGCTAACAAAGAGACTCAAAAACACACTTCCTGCCCTTAAGGACCTCACATTCTAAAGGGGGTGACAACATAAATATAATAATATTTATAACTGTTTTATATATAATATATAAATAAATTATAAACAAATACAAAACAACATAAATATAATACAATATAACATAATAATAAACATAAATATAAATACAAGATATATACAGAGACAGAATTCAAATTCACAAATCTTATCCTCACTGCCTTCACCATATCTCTCCTATAAATCTTTCTTCACTCCACTTCCCCAACCACTACCCTACGTCAGGTTCTCATCCACTGTCACCTGGACCATGGCAAAAGCCTTCTAATAAATTTACATGCCTCAGATCCACTCCAATCCATCCTTTACTGAGCTGACATGAAGGGTTACATAAGAGAGGAAGGCACTAAGCAGCTGCTGGATGTGGGGCAGAGGGAACCAGGAAATGCCTTCTGGAAAAGGCATGATTTATAATGTCATAGAGGAAGCCAGAGATCAGCTAGCATTTATTAAAAACTATGTGCCAGGCACTGTACTAAGTGCTGGAGATACATAGAAAGACAAAAAACAATCCCTGCTTTCACAGAGCTTACAACCTAGTGGAGGAGCCAACATGCAAACAACTACATACAAACAAGATATATACAGGATAAATTGGAAATAATATCAAAGGGAAGGCACTAGCATTAAGGGCAATCTGAAAGGGCTTCGGGTAAAAGGCAGGGCTTTAGCTGTGATTTGAAGGAAGCCAGGGAAACTAGGAGGTGGAGATGAGGAGGGAGAGAGTTCCAAGCCAGTGAGTGAGAAGTCTCTGAGCTAGGAAGTGGAGTGTCTTAATCAGAAGATTAAGCACAGAAGCCAGTGTCACGGTTGGTGAAGCATATGAGCGTTTGTATGGTGGAAGAAGACTGAAAAGGTAGGAAGCTCTAGGTAATGGAGGACTTGGGATGCCAACTAGAAGATTTTATATTTGGTCTTGGATGTCATAGGGAGCCTCCGGAGGAGGGCCAACCAATGCAAAGGCACGAGATGGAAGGGTCCTATATATATAGATGAAGTGGGCCGCTGTCTCTGGATTGTAGTGTGTGGAGTAGAGAGAAGTGTAAGAAGACTGGCAAGGTGGGAAGGGGCCTGACTGGGAAGAGCTTTAAATGTCAAAGGAAGGACTCTGGCAGTGATAGGGAGCCACAAGAGTTTGTTGAGGAGGAGAGGACATGGTCAGACCTGAGCTTTAGAAATATTACTTTGTCAGCTCAGTGAAGGATGAATTAGAGTGGGGAGAGATCTGAAGCATGTAAACCAACTAGAAGACTTTTACCATACTCCCGGTCAGAGGGGATGAGAATCAAAAGTAAGGTAGTGGTTGAGGGAGTGGAACGTAGAAGGATTTATAGGAGAGATATGGTCAAGGTAGTAAGGACAAGATCTGTGAGTTGGAATCCTGCCTCTGCCACTTACTAATTGTGTGACTCTGGACAAGTCACATGACCTGTCTGAGCCACAGTTCCTCCATAAAATGAGAATGGGCTAGTCATCCTCTAAAGTTCCTTCCTGCTTTAAATCTCTTTTCCAGTGTTCCCTTACAGCTCTAAATTTATGATTCAACAGAAAACTAAGAAGCAGCATGAAGTCATGGAAGTGGGAAGACCTGCGTTCAAATTCTGCCTCAAATAATTATATATCTGTGTGACTCTGGACAAATCACTTGAACTTTCTAAGCTTTAGTTCCTCATCTGTGAAATGAGAGTCTTTAGGGTTTCTTTCAGATCTAAATCTGTGTACTTATTTTCCCTTTCAGCTTGAAAACTGTAGTTCTATGAAAAGATATTCTCCTGGATGAAACAAGATGAACAGAGAAAGTAAATTTTAAAATATGTAAATAGTAAATAACAATTAACTGACATAGAGGGAAGTAAGTAGTACCTGCAAAAGGATATATCCAATGACTACACCAGTGAAAATGCAAGGAGCAATAACCAAAAGAAACTGAGAGCTATAAAATGAAAACGGCCAAACTGGGCCCCAGGAAAGAAATGAGAAGATGAACCACTCTCCCCTCTTTTCAGAAGTAGGAGGCTATGGTTTTTATATTATAAGCCACCTTAGTTGTGCTAGAACTGCTTTTTTATTCCCTCTTTTTTATTCTTAGCAGCTACTATGTTCTGGCTCACTATCCCAAAGCAAGATCAGCTACATCTCCACCTCAGGGTTCTAGGAGTACATTGTGGTTTAAGATGTCTTTTTTCTAATTCTATCAGCTCAAACCTCCATGGTTGTATTCTGCACACTGGCAGCCCACTAGAGACCAGCATCTTAGTTTAACTGCTTAATATCAATTAGCTTTTACAAAGGGTCATTTACTTCATTTTTAAATGTTCTTTAATTCAATTTTATTATATTTTCAGTTGTGAATTCTCTCCCCTCCTTGCTCCTCCTCCTTTACCATTGAGAAGGCAAAAAAAAAACCAAAAACAAACAAAAAACAAAGCAACGCCCCTTATAAATATGTAGTCAGGCAAAACAAATTCCTGCATTGGCCATGTCTAAAAGAAGAAAAGAGAAGGAAAAAAAAGAAAGGAGGAAAGAGAAGGGAAAGGAAAGCTAGCAGAGAAAATAAAACAAGAGAAAAAAAGAAAAGAATAAAGATGCTTCAGTTTGCCCTCTGAGTTCATTATCTCTTTATCAGGTAGATATGTTTCATCATAAGTCCATTGGAATTGTGGTTGGTCATTGTGTTGATCAATGTTCCTAAGTCTTTGAAAGCTGATTATCTTGACAATATTGTTGTTCTTATATGAATTATTCTCTTGATTCTGTTCATTTCGCTTTGCATCCGTCCATGCAAGCTTTCCCAAGTTTTTTCTGAAATCACCCCTTTCATCATTCTTAAATTATCTCTACTCAATCCATTTTCCAGGTCAGTTGTATTTTCTGTGAGATATTTCACATTTTCTTTTTTTTTTCAGACCTTTGACTTGTTTTTATTATTTTTTGATGTCTCATGGAATCATTAGCTTCCATTTGTCCAATTCTAATTTTCAAAAAGTTATATTGTTCTATATGATTTTATATCTCTTTTTCCAAGCTGTTAATTCTCCTTTCATATCTTTAATCCTTAACTTTCATGTTTTTTCCTGTTTTTAACTCTACTGTTCTCATTTAGCTTTTTAGCTCTTTTTTAACTCTTGCTTTAATTCTTCTAGGATTGTTTTTGGACTTGTGGCCAAGCTGCATTTTTTTTTTGAGGCTTTGCTTGTAGATGTTTTCACATTATTCTCTTCTTCTGTGTTTGTGTCTTGAGCTTCCCTGTTCCCATCATAGGTCTTTTTGGTGGAATCCTTTTTCTATTTGCTCTTTCTTCCAGACTACTTCTTAATATTGGACTTTGTTAGTGCTGATCTCCAAACACTTTTGAGGGGAATGTCTGGCCTGAGCTTTTGTCCTTTTAAGTACTTCTGCTGCTTTCACAGTTGAGCTAGGGGCCTGCAAGATTTCAGTGCTCCCAAAGTAGCATGATGTGAAGTCTATTTGCTTTCATCCTGGTTAGAGCCCTGCAAGTTCCTGGTCCAGGTTTGAGTCTGTTAGCTTGTCCTTGTTTGGGAGTTTCAGTAGACTGCTATTGGACTTAGTCACTATTAGAACAAGAGGGAAAAGTAGAAATTGAAAAAATCCACTACTCATGACTTGAACAAAACACCAAAATGAAAACTCCTTGGAACATTATAGCCAAAATCCAGAGCTTCCAGGTTTAAAAAAAATACTGTAAGAAATCAGAAAGAATTCAAGTAATGAGGAACCACAGTCAGGATCATGCATCATTTATCAGCCTTCACTATAAAGGAACAGAGAGCTTGGAATATGATATTCCAGAAGGCAAAAGATATAGGCTTATAACCAAGAATAACTTACCTAGCAAGACTGAGTATAATTCTATAGGGGTGGGGATGGGGCAAGAAATGGATCTTTAATGAAATAGAAGACTTCCAAAAATTCCAGTTGAAAAGATCGAAGCTGTGGAGGATCTTTGAAGTGAAAGCACAGTAGTCAAAAAAACATAAAAAGGTAAACATGAATGAACAATCATAAGAGACTAAACACAAACTAT